AACTTTTATCAAAAAGAACTTATTGACCTCCAGCTGGTGTTTGATAATATATATGATATTGACCTTTCAACTCTGTATATACTTCTCTCAATCTGATTAAAATATAGATCTATATTTCGTTTCGTTTTTTTTATACTTTCGATGGCCTACACTACATGAAGATCTGACAAGTTATAGCGATAGGTCACGTCAGGGGTCAAAAGACCGACTTATGACCTATTTGACGTCAGACATTTGATTAACCAATCAGCATTGATGTTTCTAGTGGATTACCCACAGTTCCGTGAAAAACACACCTAAAGCTCGCCGTAACAGACCGTTTCATTGGCTTACCCCTGACACCATTCAGAACACGAGTTAAATAACAACTCTTCCAGATCCAAGTGTAGTAAAGACAAGTAAAACGAAATTTTGAACTAAATAAACGAAACGAAATATGATCTGTGTTTTAACCAGATTGTACTTCTCTGTGTCACGACTGTCCGTGTTATAATTAAACATGTAATTAATTCAGTATGCCCTGTACAGCCTACACATGATCTGTGTACAACACGTGGCATGACTTCAAAGGGAATGCAGTGGTTAGTGCATCATACCATGACCTGATAATGACTTCAAAGGAAATACGCAGTGCAATTACAGATACCATAACCATATATGATGATGACTCATCTATTTTCTGAGGCTATATAACCAAGAGTTTATTGACAGTAAGTCAGACTTGGAATAGAGCTCCTCCCGAATTATGTCTATTTCATGCATTATACAAGAGCTAAATCTGCCTATTGCAGGTCTTTCTTTAGGCCTGAAATGTTTTCTAAAGTATTAATTAGACATTAATTAACTGATCCAGGCCTTAATCAACTCTCGATGGCATCAGATTTCTCCGATATTAAATAGATTAGAATGGTTCAGCGATACTTTGATTTAATCAAATATGGAGGACCGAGACTTAGCTTCGATCGACCAGTACGGTGGTTGAAATTATTCCATACGTCAGTCAAACCTTCAAAGGCTAATATCTTCGCTTGCAATAGAGTAATTTGAATGAAATTTTCAAATTATTAATTTTACATTATCTATTTTCGAACTATTATAGCAAGAATGACTAGTTCTTTATCTAAATCTTACATAATGTATCTTTAATAAAGGTCTTTTCAATTATGCTGATCTTCTGTTATCTGTGGTGTTACACTTGATCAACGCTATAAAGATATTATTTATGATTGATTATTTAAAGATACATCATGTAAGATTTAGATAAAGAGCTGACCATTCTTGATATAATAGTTCAAAAATAGATAATAGAAAATGAATATATTGAACATTTCATTCAAATTACTGTATACTGAGTCAAGTTATCTGTGTTTGTAGTTGTAAAAAGATGTGTACTGGTATATTAGAGGCTTAATCTCGCTTCTCCATTTTTAAATTACTGTTCTAATCTATTTAAAATCGGCCTATGGTCTTGTCATGTTTAATAAATGCCTAAGTAATAATTTAGATAACATTTAAGGCCTACAGAAAGACCTGCAATTGGCAAATTTAGCTCTTGAATAATGGGGTGGGGTGGGGGGCGAATGGTTAGCACGTGCGCGTTGTATCATAAGGTCTGTCATTGAGTCGCCTGGCGTGGTTTCGATTCTCGGTTGTACGTGACACGGGGTAGGGTCGCCTGTCCAACTTCGTGGGTTTTCTCCGGGTCCTCCGGTTTCCTCACACTGCTAAAGACCCTACGTGCAAACGAATTATTGAAAAAAAACTGAATCATGTGTTAGTCACGAAATGATCTAGTTTGTGTCAAGTGGACGTTAAACCCCATTTCTCTCTCTTTCTCTCGCTTTTGACCATATCTCGTTTGTATCGTCTCCAGAACAGAATTGAACCGTTTTTGGACTGATATACAATTTAACAATTTTGTAAATGAAATGATATGAATTGGGGTTTAACGTCCTATTGTTCTGCTCCGAACTGGGCTAATGAAGACGGGCATACGCCATACAGTGTGCTATGAAGGAAATTTTGCCCGGACAGCGGCACTATGGCCTACTCTTATATCGAATTCCAACTGTCAAGGGACCTTTTACCTGAACGCCAATGTGTACATGGGACCTCGGTTTTTCGTCCAATCAGAACGACTAGACAGCTGTCCTTGTCAGCCCCTCCATCCTGCATCACTGACAAGGGGGTACCACGCCGGAAAATCTGGATGAACTTTCTCGGCCAATGCAGGGATCGAACACCCGACCTCCAGCGTCTTAGCCACGTGATCCCATTACTGTTCTGCTCTCACTGGGCTAATGAAGACGGGCATACGCCATACAGTGTGCAATGAGGGCAATTTTTCCCGGTCAGCGGCACTATGGTCTACTCTTATATCGAATGCCAACTATCAAGAGATCTTTTACGTGCAACACCAATATATACACAGTTCCTCAGTTTTTCGTCCCCCACGAATGACTAGACAGCTGTCCATGTCAGTCCCTCAAATTAAGTTCAGGGTAATTGTTAGAAAATGATTTATTACATAGAGCGTTCTGATATTAATTCATGAGCTTTTAGAATGTATAACACCAGAATAACAATTGCAGTCAAATATTCCAATTATTCGAAACTCACTGGGCGTCGATTGCTTTTTTTTTTTTTTTAAAGAGCAGGTCGGACCAACATTGTCGTTTAATCAATTCAGAGAGTCCATTTAACGTTCGCAGATGCCACATGTGTAAGCAAAGGTACCTGGTTTCCCGCTGTCCGTTGTGACGGACGGAAGGCCTGACAAGGTCTAGTAGTCTGGATGGGAGGAAAAACAGGGGTTCCGTGTATACATTTCCGTGTAGGTAAAAGATCCCTTGGCAGTTAAAATTCGTCATAGCACACTGTATAGCGTATGACCATCTTCATTATCACAGTATTGGTTTAGAAAAGTCTTCATTAGTCCATTCATTGCAGAAAAGTATAATGTTATGCTTCATTTCATTTCCTAGTTAATGACGATGTCTAGCAGAGAAAATTCCCAGATTCAAGTCGCATAAGTACAGTCGACTAAATTTAACCTCGGAGATTAAAGTTCTAAACTGGGATTTAACTGATAAAAGGCTAAAACCAGAAGAAGATTAAACAGAATTTTTTACTGTTTGTTTATAAATTAGTCAACAATCTGGGCGAGCATGTTTTAAAACATCTGGCATGTCATCAATTAAAGGTCTGGGACTGTACGTCATAGGTGTAGGAACAAACCCCAAACAATCTCTGACTACGTAATTACAGACTGGTCCCAACAAATTGTGTTAGTCCTACTACGCACCTCGCCCCCTAAAATGCAGATCTTTGATATTTAGTTTTAAAAATTGTTCAATTTGTTTAATATTTTCGATCTTTTAAAATACGCAGGTTAAATGTGTATCATTGTGGTCTCATTTCCATTAGATTATATTAGTTTGAAATATGGTTTACCCTTATATCACAGGATTAACTTTATCAGAGGAATATAGATTAACTTTATCAGAGGAATATGAATTAGCTTTATCAGAGGAATATGGATTAGCTTTATCAGAGGAATATGAATTAGCTTTATCAGAGGAATATGGATTAGCTTTATCAGAGGAATATGGATTAGCTTTATCAGAGGAATATGAATTAGCTTTATCAGAGGAATATGAATTAGCTTTATCAGAGGAATATGGATTAGCTTTATCAGAGGAATATGAATTAGCTTTATCAGAGGAATATGAATTAGCTTTATCAGAGGAATATGAATTAAATTCATCAGAAGAATATGGATTAAATTCATCAGAGAAATATCAATTAACTTTATCAGAGGAATATGGATTAACATTATCAGAAAAATATGGATTACCCTTATCAGAGGAATATGGGGTGGGTGAGGGGTGGGGGTGTCATTAAGTCAAATAATGTGGTTTTGATTTCCCGGTTGTACGTGACAAGGAGTAGGGTCGCCTGTCCAATCTCGTGGGTTTTCTCCGGGTCCTCGGGTTTCCTCCCACTGCTAAAGACCCCTACGCGCAAGCAAATTGTTGAAATAAAAATGACCTAGTTTGTGGTCGAGTGGACGTTAAACCCCATCTCGCTCCCTCTCTCTCCTCTCTCTCTCTCTCCGAGCAATATGGATTAACTTCAGGATTAGCTTAATCAGAGCAATAATGATTGACTGTATCAGAGAAATAAGGATTGGCCTTATACAAAACACTGGCGTGCACGCAAAAGATCCCTTGGTAGTTGGAATTCGATATAAGAGTAGGCCGTAGCGCCGCTGCCCGGGCAAAATTTCCCTCATAACACACTGTATGGCTTATGCCCGTCTTCATTAGCCCAGTATAGGAGCAGAACAGTAGGACGTTAAACCCCATTTCATTTCATTTCATTTATACAAAACACCTGTCAATTAGAAGGCAAATCATCATTTGCGCTCCAAACGAAGTGATATTTTTAGTTCAACTGATGCTGACCTTTCATTTAAACCCATCATTTCTTTCGACCACACATCTACAAACTGTTTTTAATAGAGATATTTAACACACACATTCGAAAATGTCCCACCATGATCTCTAACAGTGTGTATCTATTCGAATACGCCCAAATAATGTCAATGTTTTTCACGGTCCATGAATTACAGTAACGCCCGAATGATACCAATGTTTTTCAGGCTCAATGAATTTTAGTAACGTCCGAAAGATACCGATGCTTTCCACAGCCGCTGAATTGCAGTAACGCCCTAATGATACCGATGTTTTCCACGACCCATGAATTATAGTAACGCCCGAATGATACCGATGATTTTCACGGTTCATGAATTTTAATAACCCCCGAATAATATCGATGTTTTCCACGGTCCATGTATTTATAGGGGTTTATATCACTGTATATATACATACAAGGGTTTATATGACTGTAAATAAATTTAAATGTCAACCCTTGCTAGACCGGTTTGCGCACTATTATCTATGTACTCATATATATATATATAACTAGGTCATGTGTTATTTAAGTTTTATATAAGTTGTGTCGATAGTTTGCGACCTGCAGTCAAGTTAATAGGAATTGGAATTGAACCCGCTTGATTCCGTCAAAAGAACACGATTAAAACGAAATGAGATAGAACTATTTGATTCTGGGGAATAGTTTATTTTAAGGTAAGTATAATCGTCGGTTTCTGTATTTATTTGATTGTTTTTATATCATACATATCTAACTAGAAGCCTGACAGGTTGGCTGTCAAAAGAATTTTCAAGCCCGGTGTCGCGGTGTGATGTGCTACTCTGGTTGACTCGGTTTCCTCTGCATGAAACTCGGGTTCCGACGTGTCCCCCCCCCTTTGTCAGTGCACGACAGAGGGCCCGACAAGGACAGCTGTCTAGTCGTTCGGATGGGACGAAAAACATGTCCTGTGTACCCATTGGCGTGCACGTAAAAGATCCCTTAACAGTTGCAATTCGATATAAGAGTAGGCCGTAGTGCCGTTGTCCGGGAAAAATTTACCTCAAAGCAAACTGTATGGCGTATGCCCGTCTTCATTAGCCCAGTTGGAGTAGAACAACAGGACGGAACCCTATTTCATTTCATTTCATTTTAGAATAATTTTCAAGGCCCGTGTCGCGATTTCTTTTGGTACCCGGTTTAACTCGGTTTCCTGTGAATGAAACTCAGGTGAGAATAATCAGCCGTGCAGTGGCGGATCCAGATGGGGGCCTTAGCAAAAAACCCAGCCGTTTCTCCCCTAATTAACAGTAAATAAAATAAAACCAAGTACGAACAATCCAAACCATAAGACAGAATTCGAAGTCCTAAAAAACGTTATAGGCAAAATAGTGTATTCAAACAAAATAACACATATAGTTAATATTTTTATAATCCTTTAGTGGTATTTAGCAATTGGAAACATAACAAAACTGACACAGTTATATGGGACAACAATCACTGGTTTATTATACACAAGCACGACGTTTCGATAAGTATTCTCTTATCGTTATCAAGCACAATGGACCGAAATGTCGGATGGACGTTAAACCCCATCTCTCTCTCTCTCTTTAGCCTTGTATATACAGAACGTTACCCCGCGACCCCCATTTCAGTTTATGTCATAATATGTTATTATATTTTTCAGATATTGGTGTACAAAATGTCCATTTAAGCAGCCGTCTAAATAATATATATATATAATTTTAACAACTTAATAATGAAATGATCCAATGGAGAATAGAGGGACTTTACTGTAGATCTTGTGGCATTAAAAAATATACACCATAATTAAACTGTAAAATATTGGACATCGAAAATGGATATTATAAATAGTATTGTTGAAAGATTAAGAACGCCGTTCTCGTGGCTGACAACTCCTGTCATAATTTCAACATTCCTGGTCGGTTTATGCGTGGTCCTGCTGGTCGATTACTTCCGGCTGAAACGCAACAAAATTCCCGGACCCAGAGGAGTACCATTCTTTGGTTACCTCCCTTTCTTTGGTAAAAATCCCCAGAAGACCTTCTTCAATTTACGGAAACGATATGGTGACATTTTCAGCATCCAGATGGGGAGTTTTCCCGCCGTTGTTATCAATGGAAAGGACTTGATTAGGGAAGCGTTAGTGACGTCAGGGGATGATTTCGCCGGAAGACCGAATTTTTATACGACACAATTATTGGATGATGGAGAAAGCGTAACATTCGGAACGTTCGGTCCAAGACGGGTGTTACAAAGGAAGATTGCAAGTAACGTTCTCTATGTGTTCGCGAATGCTCGAACCAATCCGTTGGAGGACATCATACAAGAAGAAGTTGAAAGACTTTGCTCAGATTTTGGGAAAATGAAAGGGGCTGCTTTCGATCCAAGTGAGGGTATATATGTTTCGGTGGGAAGTGTCTTATATCAACTATGTTATGGCCGGAACGAAGAAATCAGAAATGACGAGAATTTTCTACAATTCGTAAAAGTATCGGGCGATTTTACCAAATTTACTGGGGCTGGAAACCCTGTAGACGTTATGCCTTGGTTACGCTTCGCCATGCCTTGGAAATTAACCAAATTTTGGGCAGTAGTCCGTAAGCTCGAGGTAATAATCGAATCGAAACTTAAAGAGGAGGCAGCTACGTATTCCAAAGACAACAGGCGGCATTTAACCGACGGTCTCCTTAAAGCGGCCATTGAAGTTGAAGCTGATCCCGAACATGGCCTAACAGGTGACCATGTTCGCCACGTCATGGGTGACATTACGTCAGCTGGGTTTGAAACGCTGTCGACGACATTAACCTGGGCAGTTCTCCTACTGGCGAATAATTTGACCGTTCAGAGAAAGGTTCACGAAGAGATTGACGATGTCGTAGGGTCAAGGTCGCCGCGACTTGACGACAAGCCTAACTTGCCTTACACCATGGCAACCATCAATGAAATTATGAGATTTGCTGATATTGTTCCCCTCGCTGTCCCCCATGCCGCTACACGTGATACGGAGTTGCGAGGGTACAAAATAAGAGAAGGGACAATACTTATACCTAACTTTTATTCTGTTAGCCATGATGAACAGACCTGGGGGGATCCTAACAACTTCCGTCCAGAAAGATACCTCGATGAAAATGGCGAACTCGACAAAACTAAAACAGACTTGTACACTCCATTTTCTCTGGGTCGTAGAAAGTGTCTTGGAGAATTTCTGGCCAGAATGGAAGTATTTTTATTCTTTTCCGCCATTTTACAGAGATGCGAGTTTCGTAAACCGGCATCGGTGGAGGAATACAATCTGGAAGGGTCGTTTGGTCTGACCATTAAACCCGAACCTTATGACGTGGCCGTAACTTTAAGAACTTAAGCATCTTACTCCATTTTAAAGCCGTTAATCCTCATTTGCGAGATTTTTAATCGCTTTAGAAATACACATTTGTGAAAGTTGAATCTCTAAAACGACTAGAAATATAATTAAAATACAAATCTATATTTCGTTTCTATTTTATACTCTCGATGGCCACTACTGCATGAAGATCTGACCAGTTGTAGTGGAAGGTCGCGTCAGAGGTCATACGAGCGGTTTTTCACCTATGACGTCAGACAATTGATTAACCAATCAGCGTTGATATTTCTAGTAGGATAACCAGAGTTCCGTGCATCGCACGCCAAGAACTCGCAACAGCAGACGGTTTCATTGGCTAATCCATCACATTTACCAGAACGCGGGTTATATAACAACTCTTCCAGATCCTAGTCAAGTAAAGACAAGTAAAACGAAGTTTTGAACTATAAAAAAACGAAACGAAATAGGATCTGTGTTGTAATCAGGTTGAAGGAATATTGGCTCACAAACGCCTAAATTCCATTCAGTATTTACAAAAATATGAAATGAAATTTTGTCAAAATTAGGCATTAACTAATGATGATATCAAGACCGCGCCACCTATAGGCCTAAGTTTTGAGTAAAATCCGGTAGAATCCAAATCGGAAGATTATTTAAACTTGACAGTTTTTTGTTATTTTCTCTAAAGTTAAATAATCGATGTATAATTTATTTACATAGATTAAGCTGTGTAAAAATTAAATATTGTCCTCGCAATGTAAATGATGGTAGGAACTTTAAACTCTAAAGTAGCGATAATATTGAATGACCAACAATCTCGTGGATCTAATCTATATTAATATTGGTGACTGTCGTTTGTTTGTCTGTCTGTTTTTGCTCAGGGTTAGCGGCTACACTAGGGTTGTCCAGAGGCTGAAATTTGGTGTAAAGGGATAGCCCGGAGCGGAAGGTAACATGGGCTACGTGGCGTTGGTCACCGCTTCCGGTTTCGGAGTTATACGACTTTCGATCCGTGCAGCGCCGGGTAATCCGCTAGTAATTATTAAATCACTCGGCAAACCTCGACAGATTCTACGTTAGATGTAGGGTACCGGAATCTGCCGAGGTTTGCCGAGTGATTATTAAATGTCGCCCACCAACATAATGATATCTATAATACTTTTCCTTCTAAAATTATCCTATTGTTCGTCTAACAAACAAATAATTTGTTATTGTCTTTTTGCTTAATTAAACATATTTAATTAAAAATATTCGTGTTATTTTGGTAAAATCTCTACCTGTCATACGGCCGTCATACATGGATGTGTTATCGGGAATGTGCGTACACATAAATTATGCAAGATATAAATCTGCCTATTGCTGTCTTTCTAAATTAGACATTAATTCACATAAGACCATAATCAACACTCGATGTCATCTTATGTGTCAGATTCTCAGTGGATTTGAAAATATTTTGTGATGGGTGCTTTAACATGAAAGTGGATCATCGAGACTAATTGTTTTTTATTGTACCGACTAAGCCTAAAATTTAATCGCTAATATCTCGGTTCAGAGTGGAGCAACGTGACTGAAATTTTCAGCATATTCCCTTTACATTATCTATTTTTTAAACTATTATAGTGAGAACTGTCAGCTCTTTATCTAATATCCCATAATGTATATTTAAGTAAGGATTTCATCCCAAATTACACAGATTGCTTGTTTAAAATAAACACCACAGACTGAAAAATGTTATCAATATCATAATTCTAGGTAGGACCGTAGTACAATACAGGGAAGCCACGGTGGCTCAGTAAGTAAGATGCTGGCTCGCTAGCCTGGAGGTCGCGTGTTCGATGGCACGCTAACTCGCTAGCCTGAAGGTCGCGAGGTCGATGGCACGCTGGCTCGCTAGCCTGAAGGTCGAGTGTTCGATGGCACGCTGGCTCGCTAGCCTGAAGGTCGCGTGTTCGATGGCACGCTGGCTCGCTAGCCTGAAGGTCGCGTGTTCGATTCCTGCATTGGCCGAGAAAGTCCATCGGGATTTTCCGGCAGTGATGCGGGTCTGATAAGGACAGCTGTCTAGTCGTTCGGATGGGAAGAAAAATCGAGTTCCCGTGTACACATTGACATGCAAGTAAAAGATCCCTTGACAGTTGGAATTCGATATAAGAGTAGGCCATAGTGCCGCTGTCCGGGCAAAATTTCCCTCATAGCAGACTGTATAGCGTTTGTGTGTCTTCATTAGCCTAATCGGAGCAGAACAGTAGGACGTTAAACCCCATTTCATTTCATTGCAATACAATACAGAGAGAGATAAGTGATCCGGACAGTGGGGTTTGAAACCGTTTTATCGGAAAATTTATCAACCTCAATCTATACCAGTGATTCTCAACCAGTGTGCACAGGTGTGCCGGGAGTTCTTCCTAAGTGTGCCGCAAAATTTTTGACGGCACACTAAGAAAATCCGAAAAACCACGTGATTCCAATTGAGTATTCACTGCTGTTTACTGGTAAGGTCACAGTTGTGTTTTTCTTTATTTAGTTTGAGTCATTCTATGTTTATATGATTAGTCTCTGTCTGCCGTTGTATGCCGTCTATGACTTGCCATGTTTTTATTTTGTAAAATTCAAATATTTTTCATCTATATTTAGCCATGTGTGTCACTATTTTTTCATGTGTTCCAATGTGTGTCGTTGGCAAAAAAAGGTTGAGAACCACTGATCTATACCATCAGTAAATATTACTTTGTATAGGCTTGATGAATCCATGTTAGATAGAGAATCTCATACCAGTCTTTTTTGATATTTTTTGATATCAAAAAAGACGAGTAGGAGATTTTATTTATCACCCAATCCCTTCTTACATGCACAAATAGATATATATATATATATACAATTCTTTGCTGTAGATTTCACTTTTACTGAACATTACAGCGTAGTGATACATCATTTTTTGACAGCAATTCAACCATTGCAAAGTCCTTTATATTGACCCAGTGTTTCCATCAAGGTTAATTGAATAACAATAGTTCATTTTTAATAATAAAAAAAGTTACTTTTAATAAGAAATGAACTGTTCTTTGAAAATAAAACAAAGTAGTTCTTTTTCAAGTGACCAATCAAATTCATGTAAAGCGATGTCTCCTGGAGATATCGCCGTAGATTATGAAATATATAACACCAGCGACTGCCAGGCAGGATACGCCCACATTTTCGAGAGATGGATAGAGAACAAGCTAAAAAGAAAGCCATTTTTCCTACAATCAAGGGTCATAATTGAGGAAGTTACAATTCGATATGCGCAAATATCGAAAGCAGCCGAGATCTTTGTTATGTGTTATAAACTTACATTTCAAGTTTCAAAAAAATCGGATAAAAATTGTGACCTCTATAGGGTCCACATCCTTGATATACCATATTTTTACGCTATTTGAGAACGAAGGGTGGCCATTTTGTCTGTTAATTTTAGGCTGATTTGCACGAATTTTGAACTCAGCCGTCCTTAGGGTGTAACGGTGATATACTAATTATGACCTCTATAGGGTCAACAAGCTAAAAACGCGATTTTTCGTACAATCAGGGGCCATAATTCAGGAAGTTACGGTCCGATATGCGCGAATATCGAAAGGAACCGAGATCTTTGGGTTATAAACATTTCAAGTTTCAACAAAATCGGATAAAAATTGTGACCTCTATAGGGTCCAAAACCTTGATATACCATATTTTTACGAGATTTTTCGTACAATCAGAGGCCATAATTCAGGAAGTTACGGTCCGATATGCGCGAATATCGAAAGGAACTGAGATCTTTGGGTTATAAACTTACAATTTAAGTTTCAACAAAATCGGATAAAAATTGTGATCTCTATAGGGTCCACAAGCTATAAACGTGATTTTTCGTACAAACAGGGGGCCATAATCCATGAAGTTTGATCCGATACATGCCAATCTCGAAAGCAGCTGAGATCTTTTGGGGATAAACCTATATTTCAAGTTTCGTCAAAATCGGATAAGAATTGTGACGACGGACGGACGGACAGGGGCGACGACAATATACGTCCACATGAAAATGTGGGTGTATAACAAGCGACATCTACTGTAGATATCTACTCTAGACTACATAAAGACAGTTATGAGTTATGCATCTATGAAAATTTTACTCACACCCCTTGGTATGCAGTACAGTGTATATTTTACCCACCCCTGGTATACAGTACAGTGTATATTTTACCCACCAATGGTATACAGTTACAGTGTATATATTACCCACCAATAGTATAAAGTAGTCTTTCTTTTACCCACCAACCACTCTGGCATATAGTACAGTGTTTCTTTATTATAAATATAGACTATGATTTAACTATAATTTACAACCTGTGACATAAATACAATTAAACATACATTATGCAAGAGCTAAATCTGAATATACCAGTGCTCTGGTTACCACAATGCACACATCTTTTCAAAACTACAAACAGTGATAACTTGGCTCAGAATGAAGTAATTTGAATGAAATTTTCAATATTTTCATTTTACATTATGTATTTTTGAGCTATTATATCAGGAATGGCCATCTCTTTATCTAAATCCTATATAATGTATCTTTAAGCCATTATAACAATAACAACCAGCTAGCTCTTTATCTAAATCTTACATAATCTATCTTTGAGTTAAAGAAAAGAAGCCTTTCTGGACACCTCCATAGTTGAACAGCTTAGCAGTGGGAGGAAACCAGAGGACCCAGAAAAAACCCACAATCAATACATTCTTATTCTTTTTATAAACACTCTTTGAGTTGAAAGCAATTTGAAAGGGCAATGGCTTTCAATACATGAACACTTTTTGTACAAAAAGAGAGAGAAATGGGGTTTAATGTCCAACTGACACAAACTAGGTCATTTCGGGACTAACACATGGTTCAATTTTATTTCAATAATTCGCTTGCGCATAGGGGTCGTTAGCAGTGGGAGGAAACCGGAGGACCCAGAGAAAACTCACGAGGTTGGACAATAGACATGCGACCCTACTCCTTTAAGACTTAAAATTCTGTATTAAATACTTTCTCATCATATTTTTTTAAGGCCTAATATCTATTGTGTTGCATTTAAGGCTTAATATCTATTGTGTCACATTTAAGGCTTAATATCTATTGTGTATTAAAATACTGTTTTGTCACATTTAAGCCCTAACATTTTGTATTAAAACACCGTCTCATCACATTTAAGGCCTAATATTAAGTGTTAAAATAGTGTCTCATGTCACGTTCCCAATTTTTATCTTTTCGTTCCCTTCGCCTCATCTCCCATTTAGATAAAGTTCGAGAGGTCACGTGTCTTTCCACATTTTTACGAACACGTTGAACAGCTTGTAAGTCTTTTGCATTAAAATGAGTTACTTTCGATTTCTGTTTTGCAACTGCACCAAGGCCGTGTCGATCTCTTTTCAGCACGGTCTTGACAGGATATTTTTGACCTTGTCCCTCGGAACCCAGTCCCCGACCTTTATCCCAGCCATGTTTAAGCATCATTTGAAACCCTCGGTTCGATTCAGGTATCATAAAAGATGGCTCAGTAGGTTTAATTTGACGATTAAACAAATGTGCGGTCGAAGTCTCGTGTTTTCTACGATCAGAAACATCTACTTTACAAATTTCGCAATAAACTTTTGCCCTTGTTTCTGGTTCTACTTTTATTTTTCGCTTAAAATAATGTTTGTGTTCGTCCAATATCCCAACAACTTTAAATAATCTGGCCTGCTCTGCCATATCTCGGACAGTTTGCTTGAGATTATTTTGTAAATTGGCATCAGCTTCCTTCTCCAACAGAAACTCAACAACCTTCCCATGACCTGCAACCGCCCCACACATCAAAGCGGACCATCCAAAACCGTCCTGATAATTAACGTTTGCTCCATCTTCTACAGCTTTTCTCAAACCAATCAGGTCACCGTTCTGAGAATATTTTAGCATTTCACTGTTTTTTCGATTTATTAATCTATTATTATCATCGTTTGCAGCACCATCTTCTGTTGCGGGTCGGGTCTTAATCTCAGATTTAGATCTTTTTCGATCTCTTTCGGAGCTTCTACATGTTTTCCTTGATTTGTATTTTTCCACAATATTTTGTGACAGTTTCTGTATTTTCTTGCTGTCATCATTGATTAAGTTCTCGTAATATTCTTTAATTTCTGTTCCACTGACATGACAATCTTCGCTTGCCTCTTTCTTGGAACTTTCTACATCTTCTTTGCCATCATTAGCAGGAACAAAAGGAATCAAGTTCTGGTAATCACTTTGTAGATTCCTGAAAGTCCATTTAGAATTCATCCTGTAGTCCTACAGAGAAAAATATATTAAATAATCAATATTAGGTGTAATGGGGCAGACAGAACTTTTCTCAAGCATGCCATGAGAGAGAGAGAGAGAGAGAGAGAGTGAGAGCGCGTGCGAGAGATGGGGTTTAACACTTGACACAAAGTACATGTAGTCATTTTAGGACTAACATATGGTTCAATTTTACTTCAATACACGCAAGTCACTTTAGCAGATCGAGAAAACAGGAGAAAATATAAGTGGGGAATTGAAACCACGACACTTGACTCAATCATGAATGACAGAGCTAGTATGATCCAACACATGCATATTAACCATTCGGCCACCTCCGCACCCCACCGCCCCACTCCGCACCCCACCCTTTGAAATGTGATGAACATTTGTGCCATCATACTACAAATATAAAAAGCAACAATATTTATTAAAGATTTTGTGCCTTATCCATAAAATCTTAAACTAAGGATGCAACCTTTTTCATAAACATATTCCACAAGTCATGTCAAACGGTGACCTCATATTCTTATCTGGAGAGCATGCGCAATAAATACTAGACTGAAATAACCAGACGCTGGAGATTGCCATTTGATTGAGACTTCTGGCGTATTTCGCCGAACATAACTGCTTTGAAATTATAGAGTAAAAACGGAAACGATTGAATGTAAATCAGTTTTTTTACATTCATATTACATTATTATATACGTTGCGACCCATTTGTATCAATTTGTAGGTCCCAAATATTAGCGACTTAGCTCCTTTAAGCTTCATAATTATTTGTATACAATTTGTCGGCTATAATTCATATCACTGACTGATCAACCCAATCCAATATTACAGGTGATCTTCTTCTAAACTACTAACGCATTCATGAAAGACGTTTTACGTAAATTTTCTCATATTATATTTACAATAAAATTATAAAAAACAAAATCATATCTTTCAACCTACCAATCTATGAACTGACTCACAAATACAGCATTACGTGTATGTTACTATGTCAGAGCTTCGATAAAATCTAATACTAATCATACGATAAACGTTTACATCGTCAATTTTTTAATCTTGATTTTTTTATCCTGTTAGAAAATATTAGCGAGAGTAATTTCCCCTTAGATATTCCGGATCATTTTGTCTTTTATTTACCATGTAGCTTTGATCAACCGGTCATTTCTCAACATAAATCACGTTGCTTATCGCGAGACGTGCAGTCTCCACAGCAACGTTGACAAGATGGCGTCAGAAGATGAAGGTCCAGAAGAATCTCTTGTTGATAATCACAGAACATCTTTACTAGATATAATTGAAGACAATAACAGGGCTGTAAACAAGGTTAATTCACAATATTTATTTTAATTTTACTACTTTAGTATTTTTTGACAAATAAAGCATCTGGTTTTAATATACTTTTCCTTTCTTATTTGACAAACTTCATATATGTAGCTTGTTCATTTGGCACAATTGACAATAGCCCAATAGGGCCTATTAGATCTTTGTACGATTTGAGAAATATCTTTCTCTAGGGTTTGGGTTAGGTTTATAAATTACATGTCAAACGTACGAATTAAAGCTGTAACAACGGTGGATTGTGGCTAAAACTATTCTGAAGGGTTATGGTTAGAATTGTGGGTATATAATATAACCGAAAGATATTTCTCAGACTCAATCAAATCGTACAAATATCTAGTATTGTGCCATTTGTTTGGCCTAGTTATTATTAGTTAAGTTTAATTTAAGTTCAATGATCAATCTATCTGCAGTTTTGTGATTATAAGAAGAGCCAATATTCAATAACGAGGTTACCTATTATACTTTGACGCTATTCACCATTTAAATCTTTTCTGGAACTCTGATATTTGTTTTTAACACGATGTTTTACCCATAAATTAGTTACCGGTATAAATAATACCGTTTGATATGATATAAATATGTAACGGGCATTGTCTGAGTAGAGCTAAGCGGATTGTTGTCAAATATAAAACCTTTATAATTAAAGCGATAATTTCATATTTTTAAGTTATATTTTTACAATGTATTAAAATAAATCCTTAAAATAGATGGTATTTATAAACAGTCCTACCCTGTTAAAGAATATTCCTATTAATCCTATAATTCACTATTGCCAGTTGAGAAATTGCCAAAAATATCATTTTCAACTTTAAATTCAAACGTTTGAGGATAGCTATTCCATGGGGGGGGGGGGGAATAGAAAAACAAGGGAGGTAATTGTGTTATTATTTCCGGGGTGAATGATTTTTAAGTGTGAGAATGATGCCTATGATCGTATAATAGTGAGTTGACAACCTATTGAGCAAAAGACATAGAAATAATTATGTTTTGACTTTCTTAGAAAATATGAAATTCTCGCTTTAAGTTCATCCAGTGATGAAAAAAATGCAAAATAATTTTAGTTTTCCTAATTGATTTTGGTTTAAATCGTATAAGTATTGGATAAATAAAAAGAAGAAAAAAGTGAGAATTATTTTCATTGACGTCATTTATGATGTCATTGATTAATTTGGTAAGACACGTAATCTCACTTGGACGAGATAGAAGGGAGATAACTATGTTGACATGCGCATTGCTTGTTTTGCTTAATATATCCGGTTCTGGTCTGAATTTTTTTAAACCAACAGTCTGTGACAGTTTCAATTACGCTCTAATAAGTCGGGTAAGCTGTCAAGCTACAAAAAGATCTTTTACTTTAATTTCAATGTTTATACTTTGACATAATGTACCGTTGTCTTATGTTACTGTATTTTTTTTAATTACAGAAAAGTTTGCTTCATCGGATGGTGATCATTTCAAAATTAAGAAACCCAGACGTTGACAGAAGTCTAGTTGGAAGTATGAAATCTTATTTATATTCTTTATAATTCACAAGATTTTGTGTGAGCATTGAATTTGTTCTCTTCTGTTATTGTGTTGTCTTATTATACTGAACTAAAGCTTCTATAGTTAGTTTATATATTGTGTTGACTTAGTCTATTACGAAGGGGGGGGGGGTAGGTAGCGATAGCCGAATGGTTAGCGCAAGATCGTTGAGTCAACTGGTGTGGTTTCGATTCCCCAGTTGTATGTGACAAGGAGTAGGGTCGCTGTTTTCCTCCCACTGCTAAAGACCCCTACGCGCAAGCGAATTATTGAAATAAAATTGAACCATATGTTAGTCCTTAAATGACCTAGTTCGTGTCGAGTGGATGTTATACCCCATTTCTCTCTTTATGATCTTTATATTATCTCAATTGAAAAATGTTGATATTGAATATTGGTTTATTTTTAGGTCAATATGAAGCCATGTTAAAAAACTTACAGAATGTTTATCAAAGTGAAGTGATCAGTGGATTAATGTTGATTTATATGAAACATGTTGTTCATGTTGTAGAGGTAGGGACACTGATTTCTGGCTTTCATCTCATCTATTCCATGGAGGGGGGGGGTTCGATAGCCGAATGGTTAGCATGTGCACGCTGTATCATAAGACCTGTCATTGAGTCAACTCAACTGGCGTGGTTTTGAATCCCCAGTTGTATGTGACAAGGAGTAGGGTCGTCTGTCCAACCTCGTGGGTTTTCTCCGGGTCCTCCGATTTCCTCAAACTGCTAAAGACCCCTACGCGCAAGCGAATTATTGAAATAAAATTAAAAACCATATGTTGGTCCCGAAATGACCTAGTTTGTGTCGAGTGGACGTTAAACCCCATTTCTCTCTCTCTCTCCAAAGATCCATCAGTATTCCATATTTAAATGTGAATTAATGTAAACATATCAAATATTTATCTTGTTTTATTCCAGAGTTGTATTGATATCTTGTTTTATTCCATAGTTGTATTGATATGCTGTTTTATTCCAGAGTTCTATTGATATGTTGTTTTATTCCAGAGTTCTATTGATATGTTGTTTTATTCCAGAGTTCTATTGATATGTTGTTTTATTCCAGAGTTCTATTGATATGTTGTTAGAGATTGTTAAAGATTTAAACCTCGGTGAAGAATCCGATGACAATTTTATTTCAGAATCCAAGATATTAGTCATTTCTCATAATATATCCTTTTATACAAACATTTATATCATAATACATGTATTTCCTTGTATACAAGCAGTTTTATCATGTTATATCTTTGTATACAAACAGTTATATCATGATATATCCTTGTATACAAACAGTTACATCATAATATTTCCTTGTATACAAGCAGTTTTATCATGATATATCCTTTCATACAAACAGTTACATCATAATATATCCTTGTATACAAACAGTTACATCATAATATATCCTTGTATACAAACAGTTACATCATAATATATCCTTGTATACAAACAGTTATATCATAATATATCCTTTTATACAAACAGTTATATCATAATATATCCTTTTATACAGTTATATCATAATATATCCTTGTATACAAACAGTTACATCATAATATATCCTTGTATACAAACAGTTACATCATAATATAACCTTTTATACAGTTATATCATGATATATCATGTATACAAACAGTTACATCATAATATATCCTTGTATACAAACAGTTACATCATAATATATCCTTGTATACAAACAGTTATATCATGATATGTCATGTATACAAACAGTTACATCATAATATATCCTTGTATACAAACAGTTACATCATAATATATCCTTGTATACAAACAGTTACATCATAATATATCCTTGTATACAAATAATAATAAATTACACTGACAATCTGATGTCAATTAAAGTTTTGAATTTCCAAATAAGTCTATTCAAAAACAACCCCTAATAGAATGATTGGATTTTCACTTTTTCCATGGACTTTGTGGTTGAAACCAGAGTTTTCACTTCAATTTTTGGCAACAAGTCATGTTTTGACAATTTTTACTATTATCTCATTTTCTTTTGACATAAATACAACTGTTTGTATTTTTTTTATGGGTTAAATTTGTTGAAATTTTAATTTTATGACATAGCCAGCGATGAAATCGATTATGGTCTGGATAAGTTAATTAATGTCTAATTGATAATTTAGATAACATTTCAGGCCTAAAGAAAGACCTGCAATAGGCAGATTTAGTTCTTGCATAATGTATGTTTATTGAGTAGATGAGTTCTCCAGTCTGTTAAGACTGGGAAATATATAATTTAAGTGAGAGTCCTGGTGGTCACAATGTTAATTTATTTCATTTGTTTACTAAAAATCCTTCAAAATTTTCAAATTACTGTTGACCTTGACCTGAAACACATAGCTGATCGATTATTTAACCAATGGAGTTTTCGAGCTTTAGAAATTCAAGTTCATCGTTTAGAGGCGTATGAACCGTCGGAAACAGTTGATAAACTGATTGTTGATCTGTCAACACAACTCGTGAAACTGGGAGCCTATATACGTAAACAACCCAAGGTAAGATTATATAAGCATATTTGGGGGGTTTGATGGCTGAATGGTTAGCACGTGCACGCTGTATTATAAGGTAGGGGTCACCGTGGCTAAGTGGGTAAGACGCTGGCTCGCTAGCCTGGAGGTCGAGTGTTCGATCCCTGCATTGGCCGAGAAAGTTCACCCACATTTTCCGGCGTGGTTCCCCCTTGTCAGTGATGCAGGACGGAGGGCCTGACATGGACAGCTGCATCAATGACAAGAGGGAACCACGCTGGAAAATCTGGATGAACATTCTTAGCCAATGCAAGGATCGATCACCCGACCTCCATGCTAGCGAGCCAGTGTCTTACCCGCTAAGCCACCGTGATCCCAAGAATATATAAACAGATTGCTCTTAGGAAACACCAGATATGTAGAAAATCTGACCAAATATGTTTCATTTGGTGTGGCCTAGAGTTTTCCAGCATGGTTTCCCCTTGTTTGTGGTGTAGGATAGAGAGCCTCATGAGTCATAAGGACAGCTTCTAGCCATTCGGATGGCATTAGAAACTAAGGTCCCATGTACACATTGGCATGCACGTAAAAGAACCCTTGAAGTTGGAATTCAATATAGTAGGCCGTAGCACAGTTGTTCTGGCAATAGTTCCCTCATAGCACACTGTATGGCGTATATATGTATGTCTTCATTTCACCAGTCGGTTCAGGACGTTAAACCAAATTTCATTTCATTTATAGATTCTGGCCAACTATTGTCTTTTCCAATCTGATTAAAACACAGATCCTATTTCGTTTCGTTTTTATAGTTCAAAATTTTGTTTTACTTGTCTTTACTACACTTGGATCTGGAAGAGTTGTTATCATTGACGTGTTCTGAATGGTGTGAGGAATTAGCCAATGAAAAGGTCTGTCACGGCGAGCTTTAGGCGTGTTTTGCATTGAACTCTGGGTAATCCACTAGTAACATCAATGCTGATTGGTTAATCAAATGTCTGACATCATAGGGTCATAAGTCGGTCTATTGACCCCTGACGTGACCTATCGCTATAACTTGTCAGATCTTCATGTAGTATAGGCCATCGAAAGTATAAAAAACGGAAACGAAATATAGATCTGTATTATAATCCGATTGTGTCTTTTCAGAACTATCATTCCAGTTGTTTTCACTGACACTCTTTATTTTATATTTTTTGTTTTACCAGACTCTTTATATAAGGCTCTGGGCCACACCAATTTTCGAAACGCTTAGGGCTTAGGTCTGGCCTTGGATCCATGCACATAATTTGATATGTACAGCTGTTGTTTATTGCTTGCAGTGTCTATGTAATTAGGTGAACTTGGATGTTAGTTTTGATGGACTGTATAAATAAAACCAATCCATGACAATCCTAGAATAAAACACACCAATACAATAGTACCATTGTCAACGGGGTTGTCTTATGGGCTTTGTGTAGTAGGATCCTACTGCACTTCCTCGTAAAAACTATCTTTCAACATAGGCTTAAACTTCCGTTGTTTCTCCTTGGAAAATGATTACCAATTGGAACATGTTAAATACACTGGATGTATATTTATATCACATTAAATGTGTATTTCAGATGTCCGTAAAAAAGGTTTTAGATGCACTGCATGAAAGAGTACCAGACTTGCTTCCTAATCAAGGTAAAGATATTGCATAATTTAGTTTGTTGAATATGATCTATGGTTAACTTAAAGATTGGTTCCCAGAAAAGTATTTATCGGGTGGTTATTTCCAATAAAAGTATGGTAATTTTGGTATATATGGAAAATAGATATCCAATCTTACTAGAAAAATACTGGATTCCCCGAAAAACACTCATGGAGCGTATACAGGACAAAAATGTAAGGGTTCCCCTAATTGACAGCCCGACGATTAGGAATTTCTGCATGCATGATGTCAAAGGTCAGACGCGAGCATTGAGCGCTTGATGTACAAGTTGGTAAACTTTATGAAGAGTTAGACGAACAACACTTTCTGAGATAAAAATGACGGAAAAAGACGTGGGTAGTGGATAATCCGCAAATTTAATTAGGATTCGATATTTGTAATAAATAGTAAGCGATTAAAGACAACATCGTCTTATGTATGCAATGAATTCTCCTCTGACTTCCAAGAGAGGTAAGTCACGTGACGTAAACATGACCTGGTTTGATCAAATTTTTATAGCAGGGCATTCCTTCGCAATTATAATGTTTGAGATGGATTTAGAGCAAAATTATGACAAATTAATTAGTTTGAATATGTTTTTAGTCCATATATACCATTAAATCACCCAGTTTGTATGCGGGAATGTATCTTTAAGTAATAAATGTGATCTATGTTTAACATGAGTAATAATGAGTGATCTATGGCAATCCCATTATTTTCAATACGCATTCCTAACCATAACAGTTTTGAATTATAAATCTAAATTTGTTATTTTTTTCCAGCCGTTGTACATTATTTGTTAGAAGAAGAGGATCCTCAAATGATTTTACCATCAGAATATTTAGACGTTTATCAAACACCATTTGATGTTCATTCAGATACAGGTAATACACGAGGGCCACGGTGGCTAAGTGGGTAAGACGCTGGCTAGGTAGTCGGGTGTTCGATCCCTGCATTGGCCGAGAAAGTTATCCATATTTTCCTTGTCAGTGATGCAGGACAGAGGGCCTGACAAGGATAACTGTCTAGTCGTTCAGATTGGACAAAAAACCAAGGTCCCGCGTACAAATTGGCGTGCACGTAAAAGATCCCTTGACAGTTGGAATTTGATATAAGAGTAGACCATAGTGCCACTGTCCGGGCAAAATTTCCCTCATAGCACACTGTATGGCGTATGCCCGTCTTCATTAGCCCAGTTCGGGGCAGAACAGTAGGACGTTAAACCCCATTCATTAAAGTAATACACGATTATATGTAGAGGGAGAGAAATGGGGTTTAACATCCACTCGACATAAACTAGGTCATTTCCAACCTGGCATATGGTTCAATTTTATTTCATTAATTTGCTTGTGCATAGGGGTCTTTAGCATTGGGAGGAAACCCGGAGGACCTGGAGAAAACCCACGAGGCCTTGTCACATACAACGGGGTAATCAAAGCCATGCCAGTTGACTCAATGACAGACCTTACAATACAACACGCACACGCTAACCATTCGGCCATCAAACTGCCCCTTTATATTTGATCATAAGGGTTGTCATTGAGTTCAACGGCGTTATTTCCATTCCGCACTTGTAATGACAAGGTGAAGGGTTGCTTACTCACTGTCGTGAGTTTTCTCCTGGTTCTCTGGTTTCCTCGGACTGCTAAAAAAATTCGTATGCACAAGCAAATTAATGAAATAAAATTGTTCCCATGTTAGTCTCAAAATGACCTATTTTGTCAAGTGGACGTTAAACGTTGTTAAACGTCATTTCTCTTCGTAGCACGACTATTTATTCATTTAAAAGTTGGGGTGTTTGGTGATCTAGTTAACAAGTGCACCTTAGATCATAAGGTCTGTCTTTGAGTCAAGTGGCGTGGTTTTGATTCCCCGCTTGTATGTGACAAGGAGTAGGGTCGCCTGACCAGCCTTGTGGGTTTTCTTCACAACCTATGGTTTCCTCCCACTGCTAAAGACCCCTACGTACAAGCGAATTATTGAAATAGAATTGAACCATTAGTCCCGAAATTACCTAGTTTGTATTGAGTGGACATTGGTCCCAGGATCAATCCCAGCGTTAAGAAATGTGTTCCTCAGGATTTTTCAGGGTGATTTCCCCCATGTCAGTTAATGATGCATGAGAATACATGGTGTGACTAAGGCCCAGGCCCTAGCAAGGAACAGAGTTAAGTTGTTCAGATATGATGAAAGAATGCTTTCGGATGGCTGAAGGGTTAGCGCGTGCGCGTTGTATCATAAGGTCTGTCGTTGAGTCAACTGGCGTGGTTTTTGATTCTCCGGTTAAACGTGACAAGGAATAGGGTCGCCTGTCGAACCTCGTGGGTTTTCTCCGGGTCCTCCGGTTTCCTCCCACTGCTAAAGACCCCTATGCACAAGAGAATTAACGAAATAAAAATTGAACCATATGTTAGTCCCGAAATGACTTAGTTTGTGTCGAGTGGACGTTAAACTCTCCCTCCCTCTCCCTCTCTTTATTGATCTATCATATATTTTAATAAAGATTATAATTATTTTATTTTTTCAGATTTGGTATGGCCATTACCTACTCGTCTATTTCCTTACAACTAATAACACTGGAGAATCATATCCTCCACATTTGAACAAATAACTTTTATCAATAAAAAACCTGCCACAAACCGATCTAAGTCTTTATTTTATATGGCTATTAAGGGTTAAAATGGTTAGTAATCAGACAAGTCATTTGGTAGGTGTTCTAACACTAAGGTATTAAAACCCAGAAAGATAAAAGACATAATCTTACATCACTGTTGATCGGGTTTGTGTATTTAAAAGTGTTGGGTATTAGTATTATAAATAGTCACGCTTTTACACGAGAAGTGACATCTTTTACAGCTAGCTACACAACTGCTAATTAATGACGACTGAATGATTTCTAACCACTTTCTATACATATTAGATTGATGGCTTGAATGATTTAATGTAGATATATTCATTAAAGTTCTTGGCATCAGTTCCACACAAGTAATTTTGCATTAACCATTTAGAAATTATACTTTGAAAGCATGGAGATATTTTAATTTATAATAAAATTATACTTTGAAAACATGGAACTATTTTAAGTTAAAAGCATGGAGATATTTTCATAATTTCCGGTAAAAGCATGGAGATATTTTCTTTACCGTTATTTACTTTTAAAAACGTGGATTTTCATAATTTATTGTAAAAGCATGGTGATACTTTCATAATTTACGGTAAACGCATGGTGATATTTTCATAATTTACCGTAAAAGCATGGAAATGTTTTCATTATTTACTTTAAAAGCATGGAGATATTTTAACTATTTACGGTAAAAGTATGGAGATATTTTAATTATTTACTGTAAAAGCATGTAGATATTTTAATAGTTTACGGTAAAAGCATGGAGATATTTTAATAATTTACGGTAAAAGCATATTTTAATTATTTGCTGTAAAATTTGTAAAAACCAACAGTATATTTATTTTGTTACATTATAATCATCCTATCTATAAATAAAATTTTACAAAAAACATCGTTTTTATTTACCTGCAATCTTATCTGAATATTATTGAACCCACCTGTGATCAGAGAGGGTTTAAAATAAAGTAGTGTCTCCATACACACCCATTCCTGGAATATCACCAGTGCCCCCCCCCCCCCACACACACACACACACTGTTGGCTTGACCAGTCCTACTAATCCCCGACCTGAGCGGTTTTTGGTAAAGAGCACCCAAAATAAGGCAGGCGTATAACCCTTTAAAAGTATTAATCACTATAATGACTTAATCAACCCGACTATTATCAACCACAATCGAGATTAGTAAAAGTTGAATATGATTCTCCCTATCTTGGGGCCCGATTGGTCAGATTCCCGGTCGGAAATTTGCCAACTTCCGTAGGACATGCCGGCATATATGGGCGAAATGGCATCCATGAAACAATTTAGAAACTGAAACAAAACACAAAAATTAAATTTAACCGACTAGAGCTCATCTATTGATATTGATAAATATGTGTGAACCGCGTAAAAACTCTTTTATGATAAATTATATGTTTGAATAATTATACTTTTAAGAGTATTAGAAACACTCGAGTGTTGGGTGCCAGTGAGTAAGGCGTTGGCGCGGCCAGTGACGTAGGTAAGTCGTTGGCTACCAGTGAATAAGACGCTGGCTCGCTACACTGCAAGTCCAGTGTTGGCTGAGAAAATAATTCGGTTTTTTCCGGTGTCGTTTCCTCTAGTCAATGATACAAGGAGCCGCGACTTGTCGTGCGCATGGGAAGAAAAACCTCAATACATGAAATTCTGTATATTAGTAGGCCGTAGCGCCGTTGTCCGGACAAAGTTTTCTCTATAGGACACAACCAGACGTGTGTGTGTGTGGGGGGGGGGGGGCTCTAGGACCTCCGGATTCCTCCCACTGCTAAAGACCCCCACGAGCAAGCGAATTATTGAAATAAAAATTAAATCATATATTAGTCTCACACACAACCAGACGAATGTCCGTCTTCATTAGCTCGAATGGAGCAGAAATGTAGCACGTTAAATATCATTTTGTCGGTTTTTGTAGGTGATGATGTATACCCATACTCAACTTTAGACTGCCTGTCTACAATTAGCTTCGCTTGAGAACAACAGACACTAAGCTAGCTGACTGACATTTTAAGTCCTAAATGACAACTTTAGTCAACCAGCGGCTGCCAGGCAGGATACGCCCACATTTTCGAGAGATGGATAGAAAGTGATTTTTCCTACAATCAAGGGCCATAATTCAGGAAATTACAATTCGATATGCGCAAATATCGAAAGGAACTGAGATCTTTAATTGTGTTATAAACTTACATTTCAAGTTTCAACAAAATCGGATAAAAATTGTGACCCCTAGAAGGTCCACAACCTTGATATACCATATTTTTACGCTATTTGAAAACGAACGGCAGCCATTTTGTCTGTCAATTTTGCGCCGATTTTCACGAAATTCGAACTCAGTCGTCCGGATAAAAATTGTGACCTGTATAAGGTCCACAAGCTAAAAACGCGATTTTTCGTACAATCAGGGGCCATAATTCAGGAATTATTAAGTTACGGTCCGATATGCGTGAATATCGAAAGGTACCGAGATCTTTGGGTTATAAACTTATATTTCAAGTTTCAACAAAATCGGATAAAAATTGTGACCTCTATAGGGTCCACAACCTTGATATACCATATTTTTACGCTATTTGAGAACGAACGGCAGCCATTTTGTCTGTCAATTTTGGGCTGATTTTCACGAAATTCGAACTCAGCCGTCCTTAGGGTGTAACGGTGATATAATAATACCGTTTTTTAAATCGGATAACAATTATGACCTCTATAGGGTCCACAAGCTAAAAACGCGATTTTTCGTACAATCAGAGGCCATAATTCAGGAAGTTACGGTCCGATATGCGCGAATATCGAAAGGAACCGAGATCTTTGGGTTATAAACTTACATTTCAAGTTTCAACAAAATCGGATAAAAATTGTGACCTCTATAGGGCCCACAAGCTAAAAACATGATTTTTCGTACAAACAGGGGCCATAATCCATAAAGTTTCTATCCGATACATGCCAATATCGAAATTCATTCACGAAATTCGAACTCAGTCGTCCTTAGGGTGTAACGGTGATATAATAATACGTTTTGTTAAATCGGATAAAAATTATGACCTCTATAGGGTCCACAAGCTAAAAACGCGATTTTTCGTACAATCAGAGGCCATAATTCAGGAAGTTACTGTCCGATATGCGCGAATATCGAAAGGAACCAAGATCTTTGGGTTATAAACTTACATTTCAAGTTTCAACAAAATCGGATAAAAATTGTGACCTCTATAGGGTCCACAACCTTGATATACCATATTCTTACGCTATTTGAGAACGAACGGCGGCCATTTTATCTGTCAATTTTGGGCCTTAGGGTGTAACGGTGATATAATAATACGTTTTTTTTTAAATCGGATAAAAATTATGACCTCTATAGGGCCCACAAGCTAAAAACGCGATTTTTCGTACAATCAGAGGCCATAATTCAGGAAGTTACGGTCCGATATGCGCGAATATCGAAAGGAACCGAGATCTTTGGGTTATAAACTTATATTTCAAGTTTCAACAAAATCGGATAAAAATTGTGACCTCTATAGGGTCCACAACCTTGATAAGTTACGGTCCGATATGCGTGAATATCGAAAGGTACCGAGATCTTTGGGTTATAAACTTACATTTCAAGTTTCAACAAAATCGGATAAAAATTGTGACCTCTATAGGGTCCACAAGCTAAAAACGTGATTTTTCGTACAAACAGGGGCCATAATCCATGAAGTTTCGATCCGATACATGCCAATATCGAAAGCAGCCGTGATCTTTTGGAGATAAACCTATATTTCAAGTTTCGTCAAAGTCGGATAAAAATTGTGACCTGTAGGGTGTCCACAAACAAATTGTGGACGGACGGACGGACGGACGGACGGACAGGGGCGACGGCATAATACGTCCACATGAAAATGTGGGCGTATAAAAACACTAAGTATACTTCGAGGATTTTGTTGAGTGTTTATTCTGCTTCCATTTAATAAAATTGAAAACGTTTATCTAGTCTTTGTGTGTATGACAGATGTACGTGAAACAGAGTTGAAACTCATTACAATACGGGGGTTCGCGGTGGCTAAGTGGGTAAGATGCTGGCTCGCTACCCTGGAGGTCGGGTGTTTGATCCCTGCATTGGCCGACAAAGTTCATCCAGATTTTCCGGCGTGGTTCCCCATTGTCATTGATGCAGGACGGAGGGCCTGACAATGACAGATGTCTAGTCGTTCTGATGGGACGAAAAACCGAGGTCCCATGTACACATTGGCGTGCAGGTAAAAGGTCCCTTGACAGTTGGAATTCGATATAAGAGTAGGCCATAGTGCCGCTGTCCGGGCAAAATTTCCTTCATAGCACACTGTATGGCGTATGCCTGTCTTCATTAGCCCAGTTCGGAGCAGAACAGTAGGACATTAAGCCCCATTTCATTTCATTTCTACTACAATACAGTATGCTCATTTTGTGATATGGCGGTCATTTAAGACACATACAGAGAGAGAAATGGGCTTTAACGTCCACTCGACACAAACTAGGTCATTTTGGGACTAACATCCGGTGCAATTTGATATCAATAATTCACTTACGCGTAGGGGTCTTTAGCAGTGTTAGGAAATCGGCGAACCCGGACAAAACCCACGAGGTTACACAGGCCACCCTACTCCTTGCCACGTATAACCGGGGAATCGAAACCACGCCAGTTGACTAAATGACAGGCTTTATGATACAACGCACACACGCTAACCATTCGACCAGAGATATATTCTCGGAGCATGCAGTAGATGCATGGATCTCTGTGTGCGGAATGACACACTGATCAGCAGTGAATATTCGTTGGGCCGCTACAATCACTGATAAGGATGACATTGATGCGAATTAATAAGCCATAAATATTAACTTGTTTCCTCCAATAAATTCAATTCTAAAACATTTTTGTTATGTATTAGAACCAGCGGCTGCCAGGCAGGATACGCCCACATTTTGCAAGAGATGGATAGAGAACAAGCTAAAAACAAACGCGATTTTTCGTACAATCAGGGGCAATAATTCAGG